ACTGCTAACAGAGGTAGAGCAGATCGGCCTACAAGTAAATGAAGACAAAACAAAATATATGATAATAAGCCATAATAGGTTCTGCGTAGAAGGAAAATCATTCCCGAGAATAGAAAAATTCAAATACCTCGGCTCCACAATAACTTCAATGAATGACCAACAGGCAGAAACAGACCAGCATATAACTACAGAACTTTCTCCTCCCTCTCAAAGGTATTCAAATCCCGAAAAATCTCAAGATATCTCAAACTAAGGGTGTGCAATGCTATGATAAAGACAGTTCTAATATTGCTGTGAGATCCGGAGACTAACCAGATCTCTTGAAAAAAGTGTTGAAGGATTTGAGAGAAAAATCCTCCGCACCATAACCGAAGCGATCTGAGATCACAGTACTAACACATGGAAAAGAAAGGCCAATTAAGGAGCTTATAGAAACTGGTCAATCAATATCCCATGATATGAAGGCACGGATTTTAAGTTGGGCGTGGCATGTAGCTCGTTGCAATCCATCTGGAAGCCTCTACGGAACAATGAATGCCTCAATAGAAGGCAAAAGACCACGTGGAAGCAGATGGATAGAATCAACAAAGATGCAACAGAGCTAAGTCCAGATAAATAGAAAGAAATAGCTCAAGAAGGCGTCAAAAGATCTTAATGGTCTGTAATGCCAACAGAAAAAAAAGTTTTATATTTATAGTTATTCCATCAGTAATAGATATATAAAGTTTGTAATGATTTATGGTATTTTTTATGGGAACAATGATACTTTCAAATGTTTCACGAAGTATTGTGTGAGAAACCATAACTTAACCATAACCCCGAAGAGACGGAGTCACGGAAGGACAAGAAGAAGGATTCAAGGATGAAAACCAAGGAAGGGATTGTAAAGAAGAGACAGCTGGTCGAAGGAGACTTCAAGCAATGGTTGGTGACCAAACTTACCAAGACTGGAGCGGATACCGAAAAAGGTTCTTTATATTACTTTACAAGAACTGAAAACCTTATAACGAATAGTTATGAGATCTAACTTAATTAATATGGATTCAAGATTTATTTTACTATTAAATTTGTCAATATTTGGAATATTAGTAGTCCAGTAGTAGGCTGCTTAAAAAAAATATACATATTATGCAAAACAGAACTTAAATAAGGGAAGGAGATCTCTCATCCAGCTCCTCTTCAGTCACTCCTGATGAGAACATCATCGGTTGTCATGTCAATTATGTTGTCTCTATTGGTGTATCCTTGTAGTTTAACATGAAATCGTTAGTGAAGAGTACATATGTGTTGGCCGATAGTTGGTTGTCGTAAGTCGTTATGTAAAGTTTTGTTGTTTATGTACGAAGAAGCTCCTGTTATTAGTCGTAAAATTTTGGACGGAAAATATTGTAGTTTTTGTAAGATTGTAGTCTTTTTCGCTCAACTATATATCTGTGAGGCGTATGTCCAAATGGGTTCAATTAGATATGTGTATGTATTTAGTTTTTGTCTGAGTTAGTATGGTATTTTCAGAAGCTTGTTTAAAGTCTTTTCATTTTGACTTGTGGGCTAAATCAATTCAGCATTTAAAAAATGTAAAACAGGCTTACCAATTTGTACCAATATGTTTTAAAAAACTCAAATAAATATCCGTAAATATTGCGATATATTGTTAAATGAAGTCACAGTAGTTTCAAATAAAACAGAACAACTCATATCGTCGACTTATTGTAAAAGGTTACAAAGCCTTTTTATCATATCTTCAATGGAGAAAATTTAAGGAAAGTTTTTGTACAATTTTACCTTATTTATAGCACTAAAATACTTTAGCACCAGTGACGCGGTTGATAGAGTAGCCCAGGGATCTCTTGAAGTCCTGCTTTTCCTTCTATAGTTGGAGGGAAAAGCCTGCCTTGGGGTCCTCTGTCTGATTGTATATATTGTATATAGGTATGGCTGTGTTTTTAATTTACTTATCTTTAGGTTATTTTATTTTTAATTGTACATAGTTTTTGATTATTATATAGTTATTATTTTACGTTTGTTAATTTTATATTTTCTGTATACAAGGTGTGAATGAGTTCATATATCACTATAATTATTTTCCACGTGACAGATTATTATATTTCTAAAAAAACAAAAAAAAAAAAACAGTAAATGCAATAATATGACACCGACCCGTTTATATATCAGATATAGTTACTACACACCTTTCTGATTTTATAAAATGAAAATTCATCAAATTTCTTAATAATTTCAGATGATGAAAAGTGGCACAATGAATTTACGCAATAAACTGATAAACTTCAATAATTTCATTTTAACATAGATATCGATATAGGCGGAATCAATTTATTTTCGATATTATATAAAATATCGATATCAAAGACCGATATAGATAAGGAATATCGCAACAGCACAAGCCGAGTGTGTTCGAACCTTCATGCAAGACCCCGGCATTAAACGTAATTGTTCAACATAAGTCGGTATCTAATACAGAGGTTATACTCGCTAACATGTCGATTTTAGGAATTTTGTTATAGTGTGATCGTGTGATCTTGAGCTGATCCAACAAACTGGAGCAACACTTGTAAAATAGAACCCTATGTTTTTCTAACTGTACCTAAATATTATTTATTGGTCATATTATATTATGTCAGCCAATACTCTGATATTATAATATATATATATATATATATATATATATATATATATATATGATATATATATTTTGAAGATGATCATATGCTGAAGTATAAATGAGAAATCGTAATATTAACAGGAAACTCTTCAGTTGATATCTGTTTCCAATTGAATTGAAGTTTCCAATCGGCAGGATAAAGATGATGAATCGGAACTCAGATAGGATCAGGATTTTTTATTTGCAGGAAAGGGCGTATAATAAAAAAGGGAAAAGAAGTAAATAAAAAGGAATATTCCCCTGGAATTGATTCAGGTAGAGGACCAGGTAATATTACTGAGAAAGAATATATTTGCTAATACAGTATGTCGGAGAAATAAGCAAAGAATCTGAATGTTATTTGTATTTATACTAAGCAATATTAGCAATGTAAAAATTTTGTTAAAATTGGACGACTGGGATGAGAAATTTATTAAATAAAATACTGACTTAGAAGAAACATCTCTGCTTCGCCATTTTTATTGGGTATATAATAAACAAACTACGGGAGATCAGAAACAAAAGGCCACCGATTTCATCCGATTTTTTTTTTTTTTAGTGAAACTATATCGATCAATATTGGACACATGCACCGGAGTTCCTTCCAATACGAGAAAAAAATATTTTATTTTTTTAAGAAAGTTAGTCGACTGTTCAACATATTATGGGTGATAAATAGTCAGGACGCAGTCATTTTTAAAATTTTTATTAGTGCCGACGTTTCAATCCAAACATGTTGGTCATCATCAGGGCTCTGAAAGTGTTCAAGTACTGTACTGAAGGTGTTAGAGGGCTTGAACTATTTATCACCCATAATATTTTATATAATTTCAAACAAAGTTTAAGTTATTTATTTTTGCCTTTATTAAGAAAGAATTTTATGAGAAAAAAATTAAAGAATTCTGGACCTGATCAAATAATAAAGAGACATCATAGCGAATATTGAAAAGAGAATATTATGGGGATTCGTACGTCGCCAAGAAAGAATTTTATAAGAAAAAAATTTAAGAATTCTGGATCACATTCAACACATTCAAAAGTCAAAATCCAAAGCAGAGTATTTGCAGTAGAACATTAAAAACATCTAGAGACCATACCTTTGCTCCTAAATGTCCGATTTTAACGATTTCTTTTTAGGGAATTTCGTAAACTTTAAAAAAAAAATGGATGAAACTATCTTCGTTTTTTAAGAAATTTAAATACCTTTGAAACATCTTATCACATTATCGACAATAAAGTGTATACTTTTTGAGTTAATTCGGGATCTAATTTTACTATCCCTCGCAATTTTTTTCCAACTTCTTTTCTTTGAATGTTATGTAGATAAATTAAGAAGAAGAATTTAGCCATGTTTCATTAAATCGGTAAATTCGTTTAGGTGCTACAGTCAACAACAATAGCAACGCAAGATTTTCTGCCGTCATTTTGAAAGTAAAAAGCGGATAGCAATGCCTGTGAAGGAGGTTCATCCTCGGGAGACCTCTAATTTTAAATCCAAATTTGAAAAAATCGGTCCTGTAGTTCCGAAGAAAAGACGTTGGACGGCGGACGGCGGACAGACAATACAATTTTTATTCGTTTTTCGAATTCTACGTGTAATGGAACGTAAAACCTCAAATTTTTAGAGGGTTTGTATTTTTTTTTATTAATAAGTGTTTGAATTATCGTTTTTATTATAGTAGTTCATTATTGAAAATAATAAACCAAAATAATGAGAGAAAAATAAAAGTAAAATGGCTGTTATCGATTAACTCTCAGCAAGAAATTATAATTACGTAACCTAAAAATTCTTACAAATTTGCAAAAGTTAGAAAGTTTAATTGGTGGAGGAATAGAAATGTCTAAAGTAATTGATAGACCTGGTGTGACATATGGAGTTAGGTTAGGAATTCCAAAAGGAGGTAGTACGAATGACGAATGATTTCCTGAAAGAAGTTGTTTTATGGAAGGGGATATGTAGGTCTATAGGATGAGATCTGGTATTAAGAGTGTGGATAGAAGAGTGTAAAGTAAGCAGAAATTTCATCCCTAACGACAAATTTTAAATAAATCTTAAGATAAAATGAAGCCAGTCATGGATTTCGTCAGTCCCTCGTCCAGTCTTGTGGACGGACTTCCATATTCTAAGGAACCTTAGTCGAAGTGGGGGAAAACAATGGATGTTGCAAGGAGCTAGCTGTCTGCTGTTTTTTTACCAGATTGACGGAATCGTAGGAATTGTTTAAGGATAATCTGGTTATTAAACTGTGATTAATCTAACATTACTTCTAGATTTTTTACTGTAGGAAAGAAATGGACGGTTATTATTAGGTACCATATCAAAATGATAGCCAGTTCTTGGTGTTTACAGATTAAAAAAAATATACAGTATTCTAACTAACCTTAACGTATCAATTTTCCAACCTATCAAGTTTAACTTCCAGAAAGTGATGTTTTAAATTTTGGCTCGGGATTTTTCGGAAAGTGTAAAAAGCGTGTTTATTAGCTATTTAATTAAGAACGAAAGTTATAGAAGAAATCATGAACTTTTCTCTAGAAATTTTTATAAAATCTCTCCACCATATGTTACATTTGACACAAAATATTTTACAATATGAACTATTAAAAATTCTTCAACTCAGTTGGTATTTGCTATTTCGGTATAATTAAGTTTTTAACAACTGACATCAATAACTCAATTCCAGACACTGTTGACTGTTGGTCCATTACGGAGGAGAATAAATTAATGAAATCTTGGATTGTATGTTAGCATCTTATGTAATGTCTATGAACAACTGCAAGAGTGCTGTAGTGGACTTTTTCGTAAATCGCAAACACATCTCCGCCAGGTAGTGATTAGTTTTCGCAATCGGAAGATTTCATTGGCGCATCAGAATGATCCTGCAAAGGCATGGCTATGAGAACAAGAACAACCAGATGAACACGGGAGACTATCGTTTCGAGAAGAAGGTGAAGTTGATGGACGTTGAGGAATGGCGGAAGTTGATATCCGGCAAGTATCTCAACAGAATATCTAATAAATACGACAGTGTAGATTTGAAGGGACTGGACTTGATTGGAGAGGATGCGGAGCGAATGAGTTGTCAAAAGAGGTTCTCTCTGGTACTGAAGAGTACCAGCAGAGCTGGTACCACTTGCGGAAGACTCCGCAACGAAGTGGCCATCTCAGCCGCTTCCGATCTGGAAGGAGTAGCCAAGGGCATCCTGACCACCTCTGGTCAGGACACTAACTTCCAACTCACCCTCAAAGATGGAAAGGGAAATTCGCTCACCCTGGCATGGACTCACATCGACCCCGAAGAGACGGAGGCACGGCAGAATAAGAAGAAGGATTCGAGGATGAAAGTCGATGAAGGGATTGCTAAGAAGAGACAGCTCGTCGAAGGAGACTTCAAGCAATGGTTGGTCACCAAACTTGCCAAGACTGGTACTTCTTGAGCGGAACCGGAAAGGATTCTTTATATTACTTTACAAGAACTGACAATCTTATGAAGAATCGATATCAGACCTAACTGGAAGTTCGATTTTGCGAAAATATTTTTTTTCATTCGAAAAGGAAACCGATTTTGAAGACTGAATCCGACTGATCGGCACGTTAAAAAGTATCGCCTAACACACAAAAATCTCGTTTGATAATAGTTTAGTAATACTCTAAATAAACAATATGTTGCTAGTAAATGTAACTCCATTTTTGTGTAATTATTTCCATGATTTGTATTTGTTTTAAACAATAAGCATATAACGATATACAATAATAACCCTATATAGCAATTGAAATTACTACTAACAATGTGCATCGCGATCAATTATGTCAAAACATTAATGTTACAATTTTGAAAATAATTAAATGGAAGGTTGCAAAAAGAAGAGGTTATAATTTCACTATGCCCTGAATTATATCAGGATCCTTCAGTTTATACTTACTACTTAAATACATTTGCACTAGTCATATTTTTGAGGTACATTTGGTTTTATTTTTAAATGTATTTATTAATTAAATGGAGCAAACAATGTTATTGGTTATTGTAAATGCAAAATTGGATTCTCTCTGTATAAAGTTATATGATACATATGTTATCTAAATTATTAATGATGGTTTTTTTTTGTTTTTTTTTAAGATATTTATATACATTTTATAAGAGCTCTTAAAATATTCTTGTCATTAACATGAAACCAAAAATAATACATCATAGAACCACAAAGACATCACACTTTAGCAAAGCGGTTATATTTATGCTTTACTTTATTTTATTTTTTACTTCGAAAAAATTAACTTTTTGTTGACAGGAAACACAATGACAGAGATGACTTGTTTATTTAGGCAGATCTCTCATCCAACTCCTTTTTAGTCTAATTTTCAGGATTTATGTTTAAACCCCACGAGTTTAAACATAAAAAGGATGCGATGGAAAAAAAGGATGTTTCCACATATCTTATTAATCTGTTGTGATTTCGGTTTAAATGAGTAAAAAATTGTTGGTAAAAGGTCGTTACATGTTGATCAACTGTTGGAAGATGACGTTTTCCTCGGAATCCCTCAGTTTGATTATTGTTATAATGTATGTACCCTGCCATATATGCTGCCGTCTCTGGAGATATCGAGGAAAACGTTTGATAATTTATTCGTTTTATTCATCTTGGAGAATCGAAGGAACTCAACACCCATTCTCGGTCGTTAGATTTATTCACAACGGCTCATCGAACCGCAGCTTTTGAAACATCTTTCATTATCTGATCGTCGTCGATATGGAATTCCATCTCTTCCTACATCCGTCGCTCCAATAACCTGCTAACATTTAAATTTTATCTATTCAATCACTTCCTATCCATCCAGTTTCTAAAAAATTGTATAAAGGTACGTTTGCAAATATGTATATAAATTATTTATTCGTTTTTATTTGTTATTATTGTTAATTTTTGTATCGTCTTTTCTCTATTTATTAATTTTATAAATTAAATTATATTTTCTTGTTATTTCTATTTTTGTAATTTTGTGATCCTTTTTTTACATTACTTTAAATACTTGAGAAATAGAATTTTTGGTTTATTATTTTAAATCATGAACCATTATAATCGTCCAAAAAATAAAAAAAAATTAATCCCCCTTCAAATTCAAGGTTTTACGTTTCAGGATACGTAAAATTCGAAAATCGAATAAAAATATTTTGTCCGTCCATCGTCTACGGCCTTTATCCGAAACTCCTAGACCATTTTTTTTTTTCAAATTTGGAATCAGAGTCTTAGGTCACACAAGGATAACCCTCTCACCTCCACGTTACTATCCGCCCTTTTTTTCCGAAATGGCGGCAGAAAAAACTGTGTTGGTATAGACTGTAGCTCCTAAAGGAATATACCAATTTAAATGCAACTTGGCTAAAGTCTTCACCTTGATGGCCTTAATATTTATCGATATAACGTACTTCAACGAAAAAAAGCTGGAAAAAATGTTACGAGGTAAAAGTAGATTTCTGAATAACTCAAAATACACTTTTTTGTATTTTTATCACAAAAGCAATTCATAGAAATGACAGTATTGTTATAATACCAGAATATATACTGTAGACTTTGATATAAATCCTGTATGATTTTAAAAATCTGGATAAAGAGTGAGTGAATCATATCCTTTTGTACACCAAAACCACTTTTAAATTATTTTTTTTGTCTTTCAGTATGTCCGCATTGTCCAACGAAATTTTGTCAGAGGTAAGCTCAGCAATGGCTAATTATAGACTTTTGAAATTTCGATTTATATTTAGCTGTGTTTGACTTAAAACATAGGCTTGAAATGAAAACAAAATATTGAGTAGAACCAAAGTTATGAATTCTTGAGTAATTTGTCTGGAGATCCCGGTTAGGCAGTTACTTATTTCAATTCTCATCCCGACCTATTCTTCCACGAACCACATTTAAAAGTTGTACTATTTAACTGATGGGAACAATTATCACAACTCAACGGGACAAATCCTAAATACCGAACATCTGTAACGCGTTGTCGATTAAAACACGCATTCAATACACTCATTTTTTAACTTTGTCCGATCTTCCCGTTCAAGGTGTCATTCGATTCAACATTTTAAGTTTAACAAATGTTGTCGTATACACTTTTAGGATTAGTAGAACAGAATAGCCGGAAATCGGGAAAAAAATTCTTCCCTCCTGTCACAATATTCAGATCAAGTTCTAATTTTACACGGATGTAGGTGACTCAATGTCTAATGTTATTTTGGTCATTTTGCTAGCGATAAACTCAGCAGAGTTTAAAGAAGTGGAGAGACTACAACTCATTTTGATTATTTCAATCAACTCCACAATCTCATGTGTCCCACCTTTACGACGAGTTAAAGTGGCTCTTCCCTTCTTTCCCCTCTTCCCGAAGTATAGGCATACTTCCTTGGAAATTTCTTATACCAAACGATCAACTCCCAGCACCCTTCTTATATCTGTTGTCTCCTCCAGCCTAAACCCTTAGTCCACTCAATAAAAACGAGATCCCGTGATTCTGACCTCTATATTCCATCACACAAGACAAAAACCTATGAACATTCCTTCTTAGCCCGCTCCTACTGGAATTCTTTGCCACATAACATGCCTCTTCCTAGTCAACTTTCAAATACCTCCTTTTCCAATATCTCCTTACATCCCAAACAGAAGATTTACCACCATAAATTTCATTTTATAAACTGAATTTGCGTGAAGTAAATAGTGGTGCCTACTGTTTAAGTTTTAACATAAAACAGCAATGATCTTTGTCACCTAGTTTGACTATCATTTTTACTATTTATTTATTTTTCTCTTCTCTTCAGGTTGTGCTTTTTCTTTCGGGTATATATGTTTATGTTTTTGTCTTTATGTGTGCCAATATGAGAATGTACGTAAAAATAGTTCCTTTTATTTATTTATTTTTTTTCATTACACCACAAGTATCCTAAGATTTTATTTTATCTTAGTGTCTGCATATTATTATATAAACCACTGTATATATTATTACATTTTGTATTAAGTTAGTTTTCTATTAGATAGCCTATTGTTTATAAATTGTGTAGTTATGTATATATAAATATGTAATTTCTCTTCTTTTTTTTTCATGACAATTAAATAATTTTGAGAAGATTTTATGTTCATTTGTATATATATTTTATTTTTTATTTTTTACTGGTTACATACTTTTTAAATAATGTATATAATATTAAAATTTTTAGAAGTTAGTTTTTGACCAGATTTGTAATTTACATTGTATTAACTCATCATTGTTATACTAAAGGGACTTAGTCCCAGAATAAAGTTTAATTTTCTATTTCTATTCTAAAATATAATAAGCTGGCCACAAGACTACTAGTACTCTCAATATGGCTCTTAGAGCACAGATTACGGAGGAAGTTCCTCCTGAATAGCCGTGAGCTGAGGGTGGGCAGTCATCCATTATCGGAGCTGAGATTTTTATTACGGTGGTCTGAATAGTGCTTTCCCTCCCACGTGTGGGTCCTCCTCTTCATCTTATCCCATCCTTCCTTTGAGAGTACTTTATTTATTTCTGCTCTCCACATCAATATATGTTGAACGTGTTCTTCTTTAAAAAAGTATGCAAATAAAATATGTAAAATATAACATACATAATTTATTAAACATACTACCGTCCAAGGATGATCTTAAATATTCAGGAGTACTATAAACCATCTCTGAAAATTGAAACTTAATATGAAGTAGTCAAATTTATTCATTGAGGCTTCTAAATAAAATAGAAATAATGATTTTAAAAAAATACTGATATCTTTTAGCCTAAATTGTAATATTGATAACCTTGGTGGATTACTTAAATACTTTTGAATATTCGTAAAAGTGAATTTGATAAATATGGTTGTTAACGCCACATATCTTTTTTTTTATTGCTATTTTGTCTCACCATTTTCAACCTTTTTGAATGTATATGGAATACATGTTAATTTATTTTTTGGTAAAAATCTGAGGAATAGTGTTCCTGAAATGTATCTCAGTGTATAATATTTATATATGAGACTTATTAGAGATGTATTGTCGCATTTGTATACACACCAGCCCGGCAGTAATACTCAGTCTTGGGGATCAAGACACCAAAATACTGCGATAAAATTATTTTTTTCTTGTATTTATTTTTATTGGATGAATTTTGGAAGTTTATTTTTTGTTTATGTTATTTGATGGACTTTATTTTTTATTTAATAGGATATTGTATTTATGTTTTCTCGAAACTTTACACCATTGTTTATTTTAACTTCTGCACATATTTAGATTTTTTTTATTCAATATAACTGTGTCAACATTCTAATTCTTTAGAGGATTTAATGGAGATTCTTTATTATTCATCGTTGATTTAATGAATATTTTTATTTAATATAATTTTTTTTTTTACGTAACCGACCAGCAAGGACCACGGGAATATCATTTCCTCTTCGCACCCTCAGCCTTCCTCTTACTCCAATACTCTCTCATCCTCCTCGACTGTTCCTCTCGCTCTTCCTTAGTCCATTTTCTTCCTCGTCTCTCCCTCCCACCTACAAGAACCCCAACTCCTTTCAGTTTTTCCCTAAAAAGCTCTCTTTCCAAGCAATCTTTATCCTTGATTTTTAGCCTGTCTAGTTCCTCTGTTATTTGTTTTACATATCTCCCCATACTTTTATAGCTGCAAGCTTTGTCAAAAATTTTCTTGTTCAATCTTTTACTATTCATCCTGACCATGCGTCCGTAGAACTTCACTCTTCTGGCCCTGACGACTGTTTCCAAATCTTCCAAATTTCTTTATATTTCTTTATATTATTTGATGTGCATGCATTTATTTTTTCATGTCTTACAAATCACATTTTTTACTCATAATTTTTAACCTTCTTTACCATCATTTAATTTTATTCCTATTTTCTCCAGCATTGAGGAAACTCACCGGAGAAAGGTTTATAATTTCGATTTT